ATTACCGCCGACCCACCATGAAAATTCCTTAACTTCGATACCGCCTTATAGAGACTTCATTCAATAACCCAAGTTAATTCCCAGGTATGTTTTAGATGTATGTCTAAATGTGGGATTTAACTAGAATGAAGTCAATTTGGAGTTATACCACATGTGCAATATTGCCGTCGAAAATCAATAACAAAACGGAGTTTTTGTTATCCATAAAACCTATTCCTCATTTTTGAATAATTTCTGCTCGGTGAGTGTCGCTTTTGCTCTAAAAGAATCTTCTAGTAAAAGAAGAACAGTGATTCTGTTGAAATAAAGTGTCCAAATTTCTCCGTGCGACTTTGTTTGCGAACGAGAGGCAAGTTGATGTATGCAAATTTCACGTAAATGATTAGCCAATTTTGTGACTCCGACCACAAAAACCGATATTCTAATTTTTCTAAAAAATAAAAGGCTTTTGGCGGGAACAATCCACATCAGGTATCTTATCCACCTAAAAGCTATTTATGGACAAAAAACGAAAGAAAGCGATTTTTCAACTCTTGCCACGAAATTAAGATTTTGGTCGATATTTCCTGACCATCGCTCTTAAGTGACTAGTTTAATGGCAGACGCAGAATCACTATTTAATCGAAATCCCTAGGAATATGAATTTTACAATCCATAAGTTTAGATAATTATTGTAAAAAGAAAATGTTTTGTACAAGCTTACGCGATCATCAGACAGATCTTAATGAAGAGTATACCTCACTCAGTTTAAATACCTACAGTAGTTAGTCAATTAGTAAGTCTATTGTAACCTGATGTTGATGTTCACCAGGGAGTATTTGTTCTCATGGCGGCATTTGGAAATTAATTCAGTTCTTTTGTTAAGGCTGCTTGTTTTGTCGGCTTTAATAATGAAGAGTTTTTCAGTTTGGCAAAGGTTGCATCGTTTGGAAATACTGTTGTAGGCGGTTGCTGAAGAGATGATAGACCAGCTTATTTTGTAGTTTTCACAGTTATCCTTGAGTTTCCAGATGTGCTTTGCTAATTCGGTGCGGTTAGCGTATTTCCTGTTACGGAATGATAGTTTATGTTACGTATATCGTTGTTTGGATGTTCCTTCTGTTAGTCCGATGTAGTTTTTTCCTGTGTCGTCTTTGCCTGTGGTCACGTTGGCTTTGTATATTACGCTGGTAAGGATTTTCTTGTTGCGGTTGTTGATGATGCTGCCCATGTTCGGCATGCAGCTGTAGCTGACTTTCACGTTCTTCTTGTTAAAGACGGGGTACAGATTGTGGTTTGGTGGGAAGTGTTTCTTGATTCGGTTGTAGAAGGTTTAAGCAACGTTGGTCCGGACTTTCTTTGCAGTATGGGGGTTAACCAGATGATGTTTCATTTTCTATTTCTTTTCGTGGGTGTGGTTGTGTTTTCTTGTAGCAGGGAAGGTTTGCGTTGAATCCACTTGATCTGAGGGCTTTCTTAATCTATAATGATCTAGAAATATATGAGGATTGCGAGTTAGTTTTCTTACAGCTGTGCCGCTGTCTTGGCGATCTTGTTCCGCTTATTGTAGATTATTTGTAATGGGGGAAGTAAGAGAAGTTCTTCCTCCCGCTGGCTTTGAGAGACCTCTCCAAGATCACCGAGAGCAGATATGTATTTCAGGTTAACGCGTTATTCGCAATAAGATATGCCAACACAGCTTCACAGTTGTAACAAAACTAACTCACAATGTTATTCAAAATCATTCTCATTAGTTTTCAAAGTAACTGCTACGAATAGTGTTTTCATAAACTTAAAGTTAAAATTAAAAATCAGTTTTAAGTTCAGTACATGTGTTTCAGGTTAGCACGTTATGCTGAAAAAGATTGCTATGACAACTACACAGCTGTAGCAAAACCAACTCACAATCTACTTCAAAATTATTCTTGTTAGTTTTTCAAAGTAACTGCTAAGAACAGTTATTTCTTAGCTACCCTGAATTTGAAAGTTCTATGAGGGCAATGTTTAAGGGAAAGACAATGAACACTACAGTGTAACCCAACTGTTCCAAACTTTCTTTGTAAAGTAACAGACAGTTACCTGATTTTGATCGATAACTTTAGATATTGATTGAAAAACTAGTCATCTTTCATGTTGTTTTTTTGGATCATAATTCTCTCACAGAAATTCCTTAGCTCTTGAAATACTTTCTTTTGAACAAAACACATATTTCTAGATGATACATGTATTTGGGGTGCATTCTCGCACTGCTTCATAATCCTGATAAGCATGGAAAGAATGACAAACTTTTCAGTAACAAAGGGTAAGCAATCAATTTGTCCCGTAAAAGTCACTTTTATCCTTGACTAAATGAAATCAAATTAATGTTACACCATTTCATTTTTTTAAACACATAGGCCAGTGAAGGAAATGTTAGCAATCAGGTTATGTCTTGTTTGCTAATGTAGGTCAAGTGAGGAGTTGTGTTAAAGTTTGTAGTGATACTGAAATACTGAAATGTTAGAATATCACTTTATCTCTCCAGATTATATTTTGAAGGTGACAGCTAAGGACTGCCTATCTTGAGGCTTCAACAAAGACCTTTGTTTAAGATTGAGTACTTGTATATGGTGGACCATCAGCAACGATGGGAGAAGGACACTTGTGACAAAGTTAAAACGCACATAGCAAATAATAAACGGAAAAGAAAAACATCCTGAGCAAAAACGTCACTTGAAAGAGATATTTTATTGTTACTTGGCCCGCTTCCACAGTTCCTAATGGTCTAGTTTGATATTGAGATTTTTTTACTTATCAAGTTAAGTTTCTTTCACATGTTTATGGTGAAGGATGGATTTAAATTAGTAAAGTAGAGAGTAAACTCGCAGTTGTAAAGTAAAACAAT